CTTATCCTCTTATCTATTTCATTTGATGTGAAATACCTTGGCCCATCAACTGACACTAACATTTGTTTATCTGCTTGTCTCAATAAAAGAAGGACCGGTTATGGGAAGGTCCTTATTAAGTGTAATATTTTTTAGGCATATTGTGTTAATTTACCGTCACTTAGTTAACATGTATGCATACTGTATGTGGCAGGATTTTCATGGAGTATCAGATTGGGAATCTGCATCAGCAAACAGCTGTTCTTAAATAAGCCTGATCAAGATCAGGGATCTTGATAAGGTTGCAGCCTACAGCCAGATCTCTATAGTCAGCAAATTTAAACAAGTACTTTGTATTTCCAGGGAGAGATCCATAAAGCACCAGTCAGATAACAGCCTTTGTTCACTAACACTAACACCCTGGCCCTATGAACTGATTGGCAGACAAGCCTCCTACACTAACACATCAGTGTTAAGACTGCTCTCTTTACTTTGGGCTGACATAAGAAAACAACAACACAAAAAACTGACTTATGACTGACACTGCAGGAGGGTGACGTGTCAGGGTAAAACCAGAAGAGTGGCACATAGGCGGGTGAAGTAAAGAAAAAAAGGGCGTACGGTTCAACTGAACAATATTTGTGTCCTTTTTTTTGTGAGTGTGATTTTTGTTTTCAATCTAAAGTCGACTGTAGACTGCTAGCCTGCACACAGAACAATGCAAAAACAAAAACGAAAACTCAGATGAGTTTTTACATTGAAATTAACAATAACTAAAACTAAAACTAAATACAAATATTAAATTCTATCTAATAAGTGTTTTTGTTTAGACCAGGTTTTAGCAACTGTTTTCTATATCATTAAAAGCACAACAAAAAATGTATTAAGCTAGATTTAACTACTTTAACAATTCACACTGTTCCTTCACCATCATCAACCCTGATAAATTAAAACCTACTCCCACTGTTAAAGGTGTGAATACTGTAGTGTGGTGTGTGTGGTGTTTGAAATACTTACAGTTCTATGGCCTTGTTCCACATGATAACATATCCAGACAAAATAAAGGACTCTATGTTGACAATATGAGTGTTTCCACGCTCCGTCCCCACGTAGAGCCATTTACTCTGAAACGGTAGGTGGCAAAAGGTGATCCTGGAAAACAAAGGAGTTTGGTAAATTAACCAACTGTCTGAACCAGATGCAGAAGGATGGTAATGGATAAATTGATATGCATTAGACTAAATATTAAAACAACAGCTATCTTTCATATATATGCAAATTGGACAATATGAACAGAACCCTTTAGTTCACAGAATACCTAACAAACTAATGTAGGACAATAACATTACTGAAAGTATGATTTAATCAAATCTGTGTAAAGAGCTTGATCCCTTTCAAGTATAAACTACATGACATAAGATGATATTTACACATTCAAGAGTATTTACCATATTTGTTTATTTTTGCACTGCTCTGAAACTTCCAAATCAACGCCATGTCTCTCCTTGACATGGTCACAGCCCTGATAGCTGATCTGATTACTCACCTCGCTCACCTGCCGAACACACTCTCCGCTCACTAATTATCATTCATCTTATCTACCTGCTCCTTCTGCTTTATATACGGTTCAGCCCAGCTATCAGGGCCAGATCAGTGTATAATGTTTATTCATTTGTTTGGGTTTTAGTTTTTTTTTTTTCCATAGTTCAAGTTTTTGTTCTAGGAGGCCAGTTGTTAGAGATGGTGTTAGTGTTGTCTTGTCATGTCCTGATCATGTCCTGGCTCTTGCCCACTGGGTGCTCCCTGTTCCTCTTTTGGCTCGGTGGAAGGGAGCCAGTTTAAAGTTAGGCAGTTCTCCTGGTACCATCCCTTGTCTCTAGCCTCTCCACCTCTGAGTCAGCTTGTTTTCATCCGAGCGTGTCTGCCTGACCTCGCTGCTGGACTTGTGCGACTCTGAATCTGCCTAAACACTCTGTGGATTCCTGGAACCCTTGATCTGTCTGTTCCTGCTCCGATCGGAACCCCTGACCAGGTTTCGGACTCCTGGATCTCAGAACCGTCCTTGTTCTGGACTGTTTCCCTGACCTGGCTTAGACATTTGCCTGTTTAGATGTGGCTAGTGCATCAGGGACACTCTGGGAGACTCTGCGCCGCATCTCGTTGGCCATCCATTAGCTGGATCCTGCCTCACTCTTAGGAGTCGGACTGAACTTACCTTAAACCAGGTAAGTGACTCACATTGATAATCATCTTCCATCCGATTATCGTGGTCACTTAGCTGTGTGACCACCTAAACAGGAGTGCCAGTGATGGTTTGTGCCCCGCCTCCCCCCGCAGTCGCTGCAGATCCTCAGATCCACAGAACTGCTTATTCTCTGTTCTGTTTGTTTTGAATAAATGCTTTGAAACTTCCCAATGTCTGTCTCGCCTGAATACTGGGTCCTACATTCTGGGGTTATATGACGCTCCTACACTATTTACATTTTGATAATTGGAAATGTTCATTTCACTGCCAAGCTGCTCAATCACTGTTGAAAAAGCTGTATGTATGAAAATGTTGTTTTGTAAACACTCTGTGTATACAAAATTACAATAAAGTTTGTCCAAGTCTAAGTCAAGTATCCTATTGCAGGACCTGGAAAAAAACTATTATAAATATTAAAAACTAACTTTTTCTGCTTTTGCACTTGATTAAAAATTTTAGAAAATATAGAAGTATGTTATGACAAAACATACTTTTTAACCAGTTAAAGCGTTCCCTCTGTGAGAAACACTTTCAGTATAAAACAACTAGAAAACTTGGTGTTAAGGAAGGGAGTGGTCTAAGGTAAGGAAAAAGGACTTAACTCATTCCCTTTAACTGATATACAGGCGAACAGGAAGTCAGTTAGCTATTGAAACATTTAAAATATTTTACATTAAAATATCTGCTGATCTCATTTTGTTTCATGAAACCCATAACCTATAATGTCCATATGACCCTCCTACATTTTAGCCATATAATATTCTTGAGTTTCTTTACCGTTTGAAAAAAAAAGGCCTGATCTTCAAAAGACTTGCTCACAAAGCGTTAGCTATGGAATACAATTTCTCCGAATTAAATAAACAAATAATTATGAAATAAATATCAATTTTAATAATAAGATAAATATATAATGTGAAAAGAAATCTGGTAAAAAACTGAATGCAAGTAAAATTCAAAGCTTATTATTAAGAAATAGTAAAAAAAAAAAATGCTATTTGAATGATTTGGTAATTTTACTAGCCTTTAGTTATTTTAAAAATTGCCTTTTTGAATATTTATATACGTTTTCAATAAGATATTCATGATTATTAAATGTATTCACTTAATTTTAAGCATTTTTGAGTTTTATATGTTGCACACGCAAAGCTAATCTTCATACAAGGTCCAAAGAAATTTGTCTGTTGAAAATTAGAGGGTAGCACCTGAAAACTTTTTTTTAAAACATGTACAACCATGAATATGCAGATCAGAGTCTAATAATCAGAGCTCAGATTTATTGGTGGATGTTATGCAAATGAAACTCTAAGCAGCCGCAAAGAGATTAAATCCAAAAGGAAATGGGGGGAAGGTCTACTTTTACCAAGCTTAAAAGTCAGGTGCAAACCCAGACTTGATGTTCTTTAACTGGCACATAGAAGACTTATATTTTTATAATTACAGGACATTTTTGCAATTGTTTGGGTCAATTTGGTGCTTGTAAGCAAAGCAAGCTGTTTAATCTTGCTGTAAATCTGATTATCCTTCTTTCTATGAGAGGAACAAATAAAGTACGTTTTTCAGAGATTTATGTTTCCATTACAAACTTTTGAATATAACTTTTATTTTCCTCTTTCTCTTTTATACTTTTATATGTAGCACTTATTATATATACTTGCAAAGTGCACTCACTATCGATATCATTCACCATTATTATCATTCTCACTTTCTCCTTTTCAATGACCAATCTCAAGTTGCCCGTAGCACAGGAACCTTTTGCTCAGTTACCAAAGCTCTTTCCACATCTTAAATTTTCCACATGGCATCTTTGTAGATCGCTGATAATATATTCCCTTAATGCATTTTTTCTAATGCAATTTTCTAATGCTTATTTTGATTCTCCAACGATTCAGGTCCAGAGTGTGTGACTGCAGTTTTCAGCATGACCATATGTCAGAGTTATAAGGTTTCCAAGCTTCATTACATGTGCAGGATTAGCCTAAAGCGACTTACGTGCCCAAGCAACCTGTCAATGCAAGAGAATTTACTGTAGACAGACTTCCACAACAACACCACTCTATGGTTAGACATATGAGTAAAGAAACCTTTAAGACTTGCAAAATCTCTGCATGGCTCACAAATATAATATAGGCACTTCTGGTGATATAGTTGTTGGGAAAATGTTCTAGGGTAACAGAGTAACAATAATTGCAAAAGCAGAACAGTCACTCTTGTAGGGTTTCTAATTTCAGTTTGTTATCAGTAATCATCTGTGGTGAAAAACTAAAAGCCTGGTCTCACAATAATTGAAACTTTATACATAACACAAAATTTTACTTTGAAACTTAAGTCCTAACTTTACTCTTATCATTCCACCACATCATAGTGTGACTCACTTCCACAAGCCAAACCATGACTCATTCTGAATCAAGGTTTTATTTAGAATACAGATGTCATTAATAACCTTTGCTCCTCCTATTCTTCCGTTGTTAAACCTGCAAAATACTTATTTCATGCAATAACTGTAGACTTTCTGTAAAGCAGCAGCCAGTCTTTTAAACTATAATAAACTGTTAGTATCTGGTACATTTGATACATTTGCTTGTTATGAAACCAACATTTTCATGTAACTCTTTTTTTAGACATGCCAACAGCTTTGCAAGTTCTTGTTTCAATTAAGCTGTATTTTGGATTTCCAAAACATGCTTATGAAAATTTCACATACTAAACTTCCTGGATATTTAAAAATGGGCTTTTGTAAAAGGTATTCATACTGCTTGAACCTTTTTTGTAATTTTGTCATTTTCAAACACAACCAAAAAAGGTTACAAATACACTTCAGAAAACATTTTATTCATGTCCTCTGAGTTTACACTTTTTATAATGACTCTTAGTTATAGGTTTTTGAATTTTTCCTCCATTGGGTATGCTCATGCAGAGGTTAAGGTTTTGTCTGTTCTTTTAAAAATGTTAAAGCTTAACTAGCTTGAATGAAGAGCATCTGGGAATACCAATATCCAATGTTCCCACCAAATTTGAATCTTCAATGATTGGGTTATTCACAGGAGCGTGCTTTGATCGAACTCCTTACATAAATTTGGTTACATTTGAAATATTGTCCCATTTAAATATTTAAATAAAGACATTAGTGTTTGTAGTTTTGCAAGACATTAGAACACAAAACTGCTTAAATCACTAGTAATGCTTGTGTCTTCGTCAGCATGTAAAAATAGGTACACACAACTACACACCGTTACCTTTTAGATTTGTAGAGATCAGGGATTCATTGTATTTCAACCCAAAAGTCACTTACCCTGCAAGCAGCCGGATTATTTGATAGAGGAAAAATAAGACGGCACACAATTCAATAAGGACTTTGGAGGTTTAAGGTGATGGCAATATCAGAACAGGCCACGGGGGAGATAAAGCACATCAGTGTTTTAATACCCTTAGTGTTTCATATGGTTGTTGCATTTAGTCACTTTAGTAAGGAGGAGAGTCCCTGCTTTTGGTGGAGGAGTTCAAGTATCTTAGGGTCCTGTTCACGAGTGAGGGAAGAATGGAGCGGGAGTTCGATAGACAGATCGGTGCGGCTGCTGCAATAATGCGGACGCTGCACCGGTCTGTCGTGGTGAAGAGAGAACTGAGCGAAAGGGCAAAGCTCTCAATTTACCGGTCGGTCTACCTTCCTACCCTCACCTATGGTCATGAAATCTGGATCATGACCGAAAGAACGAGATCCCGGATACAAGCGGCTGAAACGAGCTTTCTTTGCAGGGTGGCTGGGCTCTCCCTTAGAGATAGGGTGAGGAGCTCGGTCATTCGGGAGAGGCTCAGTGTAGAGCCGGTTCTCCTCCACATCGAGGGGAGTCAGTTGAGGTGGCTCGGACATCTTCCTCGGATGCCCCCTGGACGCCTCCCTCGGGAGGCA